CAGATAGCATAGGTAAGGATTCTGATAACTGGGGTGGGAGATGGGAGGGATTTATAGGGACATTGTAAAATTTGGATTTAAGAGATACAAAGTCACTGTGCTAACCCCCATAATATTTTATTTCAAGATCAGTGGTAGTCAACCTCGTCCCTACCGCCCACTAGTGGGCGTTCCAGCTTTCATGGTGGGCGGTAGGGGTTTGCTGTACCTCTGCTTTATAAATTTTATAAAGTAAAGTTACTTCCCTACTTTATAAATCACCATTACTGTGGAACCAGTGGGCGGTTAGAAAACTTTACTACTAACAGAGGTACAAAAGTGGGCAGTAGATATAAAAAGGTTGACTACCCCTGATCTAGATCATCTGCTATCAGTATGCATCTCATCAGCCATCTTCATAGCTCTACTGCAAATATAACAATTGCCTTCATTTGAATAAGCACACCAACTAATGGATCCTTTTTGATAGATGTGGATTGCAAAGGTCTACTCTAACGATTATTCCCTCTAGCAAGTTAAGTCTCCTCTACACAAGGCTTAGATATTTACACTAACCAATAGAATTACTATCCTCCATTAATATTATAGTTCCTATGAATATATGACAATATTCCTTCTTAGTTTGTTGTGAAAGTTCAAACTGCATTTACTACATGATTACTGAAAAGCAATAAATAAGAAGCATATTTCAAATGTTTTAACAATATCTGACTACTACAGAACTTGAGTGTACATTAGATAGAAAACTTCTATCATGAATACTGAACTGATTACATACTACTATAAACATTGTAAGAGGACAGCAATATAAATCTATGCAGCAAAAATCAGAAGGAATCTGTAGCATGCTTTCCTAGTAGCAAATTCTATTATAAGGCATAGGTTTTTGTGATTTGCATAAGCTTGCATAAAAGTGTATGCCTTTTAATGAAATGTGTTAGGAAAGCACTCCTCTTCCTCCTCCTCCTCTTTTTTACTATTATAATTTTATAAATACAACTAATCAGAGGATGTTGGTCTACTAATTTTTTTAGCATGCATTTATTTCTCTAAATATAATCCAATATATTTTATACATTAAATCAAAGTCTGAGATAAGCTAGGTAAAACTGAAAAAAATAAATTTGTATAACACTATGTATAGCACAGTTTCCAAGTTAAATAATCTATGCTTTCAATATTCTTATTTTTAACTCAGTGCCACAAAGAACTCAGGAGTGTCATTTAATAAAGCAATTGGCTCAACAGATAGTCTATGTGTACATGAAGCACCAGTATGATCAGGCAATACAAGGTTGGATGGTATCTTCTAACATGTACAGACCCCCACGCGCACACACACAAAACCTGTTTATGTCTAATATTTACCTCCTGCGCTTCTTGATAAATGGACTCTCAAGTAGCTCATCAGCAGTAGGCCTCTTCTCTGGATCCTAAAAGAGGTGAGTGACAGATCACTCCCTAAGAAGAGGGATCATTTTTCAAATCTTTACCTCTAGGACAATGAATAAGTTACATCTTTGTGGTCTATTTCCATTTCCCCAAACACAGCAAATCAAAAGCGCCATAAAATGAGCAGAATGCTCAGATAGTTTAATAGTGCTTATGTTACTGCAGTATCTAAGGAGGACACTTAACTATAAAGCTAAGTGACAACAAAAGTGGAACCCTGAGTGCAGGAGCAAGGAGCCAACTAAATCTCATTTGCTGCTTTTCCTCTCTTCTTACAGATTTTCAAACAATGCATGGCAACTGTTTAGTGTTTAAATGAAGTGTTTTATTTTAGCATTGAAACCAAAATTACTCTCACTGAATTTATAACTAGTGTGGGCTGTCACACTTGTTTTTCTGCTGAGAGAAAAAGAGATATAACTTATACATTTCCTCTAATCCCTTCCAACCCATTCCTCTAAAATATTTGCCAACCCAGTTTGCCAAGAACAACAAGGCCTCATACTGACTTCAATGTTAACACCAATACCAGGCTGGGGGCTGGGTTTGTTAGGGTGTGTGGAAGGAATAACCCCAGGATTTGACTTATCTGCTAGAAAAGAAAAAAATAGAATGGTTTTGCTAATTTACTGTAGCAATTTTCCTTTTGCTGTTTTACCATAGAAATTTCCCTTCCACCTTGACTCAGAAAACCAAAGTAGATCTCTATAGGAAAAAAAGCAGACTATGGTGTCTCAATGTACAACTAATCTGCGGAGAAAACCCATCCCCTCAGACTCAACTGAGCTCATAATATTTGATGACTTCAGAGACAGAATCCCGTTCAAAATCTGAAAGCTGAAAATAAAAAGAGGACATCTTTAAACTGAAATTGAACTTCTCTGTGTGATGTAAGTCTCATTTTATTCATTTCTTTTATAATATTATCTTGTGATTTTTAAAAAAAATCCTATTTAAAGTAAAAGTTCTTCAAGGTGAAACATGATTTTGGGCTACTTCATAATTTTCATACTGAAAGGTAGTGGGCCTAAAAGATGAAAGAAAAAAAACATAATGGGAGAGGTTGCTAAAAGTCAGCTGTTTTTATATGTCTTTGGGGTGGGAAGGTACATTTCATTTTTATTTCTGGAAAATATTATATATTTTGCTTTCTTTATGGTTAAAAAAGAACAATGAATGTGGGGCAACAAAAAAAGGAAGATAAACATTATTTGGTTTCTCTCTTTACAGTACATGATTTTTAAATGCAGTTAAGAAAAGAGGGAAAGGGGAAACAATAGTACACCATCCAATCTAAAAAATGGAAAAATATTCAACATTGAAAAAAGATCTGAAAAGCCACACTATTAGTTCTTTTAATTTCGTACTCTAGAGAAAGCAAGTGAGCTTGATAAGGAGTTTTTAGTATCTGACAGCGGGTAAAAAGTTTCAAGGGCTCCTTCTCCACACTCTCTCAAACCAAAAACTGCCATCACAGAATGAAGGTAGCTCACCAACCTGATGAAGGCAGGAATGCACCATTTGGATGAGATCCACAGAGTATATGCTGGAATCAACCTCCATTGCCCTGTTTCCTTGCACAATCTTCACACAGAGGTTCAAGGGATTCTAAGAAAGAAAAAGCGAAATAATCTAAACCAGTCTTTCTCAAATTTGCCAACTTTTAAGGTATGTGGATTTTAATTCCCAGAATTCCCCAGCCAGTCATGCTGGGTCTAAATGGAAAAGGAGAAATTTCCTGAGGTGATGGTCTGTGAAACTGTATTTTTAATTGTCTCAGCCCTGAATAAATTCCAGTTTTATCTGTATTGCAAGATAGCAAGCAACTTCAGAAGAACAATAGAAAGCCAAAGGGATCTCTATATGAGAATTTCATAGTTCACCTAGAACTTTCACTGTCATATGGTATCTAAAATTGGAGTCACTTTCTCTTAATCACTCACCATAGGACAATGCAATATAAAAAAGGTGATGCAGTATTAATCATGAGCAAAGTTGTTCCATAGAGTGACTTACTGTTGCATCAAATGTTCTCTTCAAGGTAAGGAGTTCAAAAGCAACACAGCCAACTGCCCATATGTCAGACTTGAAACTATATTTTACTCCCTGGCAGAGCTCTGGAGACATGTAGTATGGAGTTCCTACCAACTACAAAACAAAAATAGATATTAGAGATATTAGATCAGTTATTCCATATCAAGCAGACACAATGCAATAAGTTCTAATTTGCTGTCCTTTTATCTTCTTTCCTCCCAAAAGCTCAGATTTGCTTTAGCATATTTGTAGAAAAGTAATCATTGAATCTTATCACATACATATTCTCCTATTTATAACTAGAGCATCTACTTTTTCTTAATATAAAGTTTGAATCTTTAAAAGAGAGCAAACTGAAGCAAATAGTCAAAACAAAAAGATATCAAACAATTCTACAATTATACTAAACAAAACGGACAAAGAAAAAGATTTGCCAATGCCAACATACACATTCTATCATTAGATGTATCATTTGATCAGTTTGTTATTTCTTTCAAACCCAGTCTTGGGAATATTTATTTATTTAGAGCCATTTATATAGCCACTCAACTCAAGCAATGTAACTCTAAGCAGCATACAAAAAGTTACAACAACAAATACAAAACAGGGAGGAAATAGCACAGAGCATTAAAAACAACTAATATAGTTGTTATAGTTCTAACAGTGATTAGAACTCTTAGATATAACTCATTCAATGGGGCCTCTGGTGATCGTGACCCAAATGCCTAGTGAAAGAGCCAGGCCTTAAATGCCTTCCTAAAGGGCTATAGGGAGGAGCCAGCCATATATTTATTTTAAAAATCTACTGAAAAATATCTAGATGTGAATTCAAAGAATTCAAATATCTGAATTGCAAATTTAGATACTTTTGTTAGAAATAATTCAGAACAGGAAAAAGTAAGAAATAAACACTTGATCGTATTATTTGACGTGCATAAAGTCCCAAATAGCTGAAACATCATTATCATAATCATCACATTCGTCCTGCAGCCACTTACAGTTTCAGCCATGGAATACTCAGAGTTCAGTTTTTTTGCCAAGCCATAGTCTCCCAGTTTTATGAGATTTGCTTTGGTGAGGAAGATATTCAAGGTCTTTATATCTCTAGGAAAGAAACATTGAGATATAAATATTTATATCAACACACAGAAAGTTTTTAAAAAATAACATATTCACTTTGTTAACACAGGTAATCCTTGACTTACAACAGTTCATTTAATGACCATTCAAAGTTACAGTGGTATGAAAAAAGTGGCTTATGACTATTTTTCATACTTACGACCATGGCAGCATCCACATAATCACATGATCAAAATCTGGATCCTTGGTAACTGACTCATATTTATGACTGTTGCAGTGTCCTGGGATCATGTGATCCCCTTTTGTAACCTTCTTACAAGCAGAGTCAATGGGGAAGCCAGATTCACTTAACAACTGTGGCACAAAAAGTCATAATAGGGCAAAATTCACTTAACAAATGTTTCACTAATCAACAAAAAATTAGGGCTCAATTATGGTCATAAATTGAGGACTATCTGTATTCTGAAGGCATTAATACCCTCTTCATGTGTACAATCTTACTTTTTTTGCAGGGGTCCTAAACTTTATCATGTGATGCAAGCTGTTATTATTTTTTTAGTTTTAAAGCAGGCTAATCTAGTATTCTCAGTTAAATGTGTGTTAAAGTAGATACTAGACTCATTTCAAGTTGAAGTGCAATGAGGAAGCAGTCCTATATTCTTTCTGAGAGGGAGCCCCATAGAACTCAATGGGACCTAGACAGATATGCATAGAAGTACATAATAAAGCAGGAAAAATAGATGAGGTAAATCCTTGGGTTTTATAGACAAAGTTAAAAAATAATGTTGTTTACAAAGCTCGTATCTAGAAGATCAATTTGGCATGTCCATAGAAAATTATGATTAACTTTAAAAAGTATTATTTTTGTATCTAAAGGTAAACATTCCCTCAAATTGTTTTAACTGCTGATTAGATAACACCCATGTTGTTTTTTTGACAACCACCCAGAAGCATTTGCTTTTGTTTGCTATTAGCTGCCAGAGATGTTCAGAGATTGCGGCACATATGCTTAATAAATAATAACAATTATTAGTGTCAGTATTGCCTTCTTCCCAGGTTAACCTATAGCCTTGGGATTTCCTAGTGGTTTCCATCCAAGAATTAATCAGATCTGATCCTCTTAGCTCCTTTCAAGATCAGCTGAGATTATCTAGGCCCTGCTATTTCCTTCTAACACCTATCTGTCTTTTCAAGAATATGACAGCTTCAGTTAACTGTTGGAAATCCACTAGATTTTCAAGGGTTAGCTGACCGCATCAAACTTTAGTTTTTATGGATGTGATATTATAACTCTCGTTTTCAAGAAAAGCTATTGAATGCATTAATTTTGTTCTGGATATTTTTGTTGCTCTTTATATACATTTGAATTACATATGAATGATTTAAAAACAAGGACAACAAAAATGCATTCTGTAAGTTTCTATAGTGCCAAAAAATTACACACTTAGAAAACTACTCATTCTGTGTCAATTTCACTACACTCAGAAGCAGTTGCTTCTGTCTATATCTGAACAGTCATTTCATCACCAGGAGTCCCAACTGGAGTATCATTTAAAATAGGGATTGCATATAGCACTTTATGGTTGATTTCATTCTTTATTAAGTAAACAAATTTAGATATTACACAAACCAATTGTGATACAATATGAATATATTGTATATATGTATAGTTTTGATTAATATACAAGATTACAAAATATGATTTTTATTTTAAGAATTTTTGATCACAAAATTTTTTCATCCGCTTAACTCACACCTTTATTATTAATGTATTATCATTCTTAATTATGAAAAATGCCAGGCAGTAAAATGCATTAAAAGATGTTAAGAAAAGAAATCAGATAATCGAAAGATGTAGTACAGCAAATGCGTAACCTCAGAACAAGAGTCTTTATGCAGACGGCCTTTAAGATAAAGATAGAAGCTATTTCACTAGCTAATAGTTTCCATACCATGCAGACAATCCTGAAGAATGGTTCATAAACCTTTTAATAATTAATTGTAGTTTTATAAGCAGAAAATGAAATAAAGGGGCAAAAAAATCTGCATTTTGTACAGGTATGTTTGTTTCTAAACCACTTTAATCTTATTCAAGACTTAATGGTTTAAAAGTAATGGTTTAAAGCTAGAATGCGTTGCTTCTTCATCTATGAGGACTAGAAGAATGCATTTCAATGTAATCCTTGATTAAAAAAAACATTTTAAAACTTTTATGAAGCATCCATGTAAAAGAACAAAATTGTTCAAATACTTCCACAATTTTTTTAAAAAAAGTTTACTCAACAAACTATAACCCTCTTGGGCATTCATAAGAGTATCTGAAGCCTGTATTTCTAACTGTATCATTTTTACTCCAAGAAGACTAGTTTTTTTCCTAGATTCTGCTACTTGAGAGTGTTCTCACCAAAGAAATTCAGAGGAGACAGTTAGAATGAAAGTAAAGTCAATTTAGTATGGCTTCAGAATGGGATAACTTATCATTGTGAACAAGGTTTAATGTTATTATGGTCCAGTGGTTAAAAAGTTAATATGAAGCAAAATTATAAAATGTCAAACAATTACAGAAAATAATATGGCAATCTAAATAGTTTGCTTAACAGTTATAATATTTATGTATTTCATTTACATGATGCTTTTTCTACAAGGAGCTCAAGATAATACAAGGTTTCTTCCCAATCCATTTTAATCTCACAACCAGCCTTGTGATGACACTTAGGCAAATATGATTGACCCAAATTCATTCAATGAGCTTCACTGTAGAACAGGAATCTAAGCCTTCTACAACTCTCTGTATCCATTAACTTTTTATGTCATATGGAAACTATAAGTTGTAATTCAGTTAATATTATGAAAATGCTTGTCAGATAAATGATGCTGCAGAATATGGTCTTTCATATATTTGGTTGTATGCAATTTGAGAAACTCTCATTTAATTATATTTGTCAGAGTCAACAGACAGAATTTTTGCCTTCTTTTGCACTTAAATTAAAGTACCTGTGAAGAATTCCTTCTCTATGGATACAGCTCACTGCTGATGCAATTTGAAAGAGATACCACACTACCATCTGCAAAAACAACCAGAAGTTCACAAAGGAAAAAAAATGTTTTTTAGGAGACCAGCACAGCAAATATTCTAATTGAACGTTTCTTTAGAAAGTAGATTTTATCATTTAAGAGCAACTCAATATTGAGCACTTTTCTACAAAGTTACCTGCCTGGAATTATTAGTTCATAGTTTTCAAATGGATAATGGATGCTAAAAATTTTTATAACTTAATAACATACTGAGATTTCAAAAAAAAATCATGGTGGTCTTTACACCCCTTAATTCGAAGTTTCAGCTGTCACACCACCACTCTATACTTTAAACATTTCTTTTAACATCTGTATTCTCTCATTGTCTCCCTTTTACAGATATGTAAAATATTGGGCAACCATTGAATATAATCTGGATTTTTATCATGAAGACGAAAAACATCTTATTTTAATAAAATGGCCTTTTAAAAATAAGAAGGCTTTAAAGTGCTAAAGTTGCAATTCAAAACATATTTTGGAACAGAAAATATGCCTCACTGGATGCAGAGAACATACCACATATATAATCACATTTTAAACTGATATAACAATAGCTGAATAATTGTATATATAAAAACAAACGCATGGATCTTTCTGCTTAGTAATTAGTTTTAGGAGTACAGAAAAAAATGTTCCATTCTTTTAAATATAAAATGTAGAAGAAAACAATTCTAAGAGTTGTGGCAGTAATAAACAAATTCTTTATTAAAACTATTAGGCTATAGTCATGTCACAGTAATTAAACAGACTCATAAATCCCCTAGGAAGCCATATCAAGTGTGGAATCTATAGTATCAGACAAATATTTTAAATGTACATAATACAAATATCCTTGTTACGTATACTTTCCTACACTGTCTCAGTGCAAGGCAATGGCAAAGGCAAGGTGCCCTCATATAATCAGATTGGATTTCCATTTCACTACATAACTTGCTTACTCTCCAGCAGTTGCTGGAGGGTGACACAACAATGCTTGCATGATATACTCACAAGCCTCTTGATGGCATTTGCAGAGTCCCTAATTTTTTTTTAAATCCCTGAGATTATCAAATCTCACAAGACCTCAATATGAAAAATTTCCCTTAAAACTCCTATGAATTCACATTTCTGCATAAGTATACACAAAATATCAGTATTCACAAAACTCAGAAATTATGATAATCTGGTGCTGTTTGTGTTATTTTAACTGTTTTTAATTGTAGAGATTATTTGCTCCCTGCTGCTATACAGTTTGATGAACCCTTTTGAAAGTATTGGAATACAGTTTCAATAATTCCTATACTGGCTGGAAATTATGATATCTATAGTTCATCATTTCTGGAGGTAATCTGGTTGAGGAAGACTATTTTAAAACCAAATTAAAGGCTGATCAAGTGAATAAAAATGAGAAGCAGACTTCCCTTTGTCTCCCAATGTTTTCATTACCTCTTCTTCAAACAATGTGTCTTTTTGTCGTAGGATCTTATCATAGAGATTTCCACCTAGAAGTAAGAAAGAAAAATACTGAGTTATAAATTTCACATATTCTCTGTGTAATAAAAATCCCTCAGGGGATGTTAATGTTTTCCTATTTTTTTCTATGGAAAAAAGGATTCTCATTTCTGCTCTATTCTTTGCTACTGCTGCCACCTTCAATCCAAACCTCAAAAGATGTTACAAATAAAGGTTCAATAAACTCGGGAAAATAATGAAATTTAAGTTTAAATAAATAATGATTTCTTTGATGCTAATAATCTGCAAAATTAATTAGAAAGTAAGACTGTAAAGTTTTGCAAAGAAGGAAAAAATGTAATCCAAGATATTTAATACAGGAGAAGGGAGCACTGTGTATGGCTTAAACTAAAAAGATTATTTCTCATGTACTTTTAATTTTCTTTACTCTGTTTATTCTTCGAAACTCCTCAAATTGGGTGTGTATTTAGTACCACATCTTTCTTTTAGGTAGTTCTGATTCTAAGTGTCTCTTATTCAGCAACTACTACAGAATATATATCTCTGAAACATAAATGGCAGTCCTGCAAGGTAAAGTTTGTTTGCATTTGTCAATCTACCTATAGTTAACATTTGTAAACAAAGCACAGATTCTCTCCGTTCCATCGCTCAAGATGGAAGAGAAGTTTGCTCTTTACAAGACATTGTTCTCACCATTACAGTACTCCAGTTCAATCAGCAAAGTGGTGTTATCCATGAAATGATTGTAATAAGCAATGATATTATCATGTTGCAACAGAGCAAGAATAACGATCTCATTCAAAGCATCACGCCGCTCTTTTTCTGACAATCTGGTAAGATCCACTTCCTTCCATACTACAAGTGAATCGTCCTGCAATTTAAAAAGCCTGCTTAGTTAGATGTATACGCCAGATAATTCACAAACATCTTAAAAATAGCATTTATTTCTTCAATCATCCAAAAATTAAATATGGGATTCAAATGCTCATTCTTATTTCTGATTCCAAGAACTAACCTTTTTCAGTAATAATTTAATATTGCAGCTTTTCAGGCATATAATCTACAGTGGATAACAAGATGGTGATTTGATAAGGAATATCGCTATTTGGTATCAATATCAAATTCTTGTGATAAGATTCTAGGTTATCTAGTTAATTTATTAATTCTGGTAGCCACTGAAACTATGTTAAGGATTTTCAACTTGTCTTTAATAAACTATTAAAAATATTTTAGATGTGGCATTCAAAAATTATCCACGTTTAGAAAATATACTTGTTAATGATGTTAAATAATTAATTGTAATTGTGTTATGAAAGATAGAAATCAAAGACCTGCCTGGAACTGTATGAGTTGAAAACACACACTGTAAAAAAACATTTCCGCCTTCCCACGTATTTAATTTTTTTTCTCAGAAAACCAAAGAGATATCTTGGTAGGCAAATCCATATAGCTCAAATTTATCAGATTTCATGCTCTTTACTCAGATCAGAATTTATCTGCCTCTATCATGTGGATTCTTTAAAAATCTTATTTAAAATGCCTTTCTTAAATGTTATGTAGTTTGTAGTTTAGCCCTAGACTTTGCTAAAATGTAATGCAGCACTATTTTTTTCCCCTTCTATACTGTTAATTTTTTTTTTGCCATGGAAAGGAAACTGCTGGAAAGGAAGCAAATTTTCCGCATCTTCAATATTTTATTTTCAAATGCCCACTTCTTTACTTTTCTAAAAACAAAGTTAAAGAAAAGAATATGCTAATGACATTTCTTTCCTATGCTAAATGGCAGTTTGGGAAACAATTTAGCCAGGCAATACAGAATAAAAGCAAAATTTATTTCTCCGTTATCCAAATTCCTCATGCAGCAATTATTTTCAACTGAAAAAAATCATCTTCATAATCCCAACTCCATTGAGCAAGATATTATTTTTTGTCCTTTATAATTAAAATAATCAATTCAGTCACACTAATTTCAAAGGAATTTAATCTAGGTAAATTTTTTGAAGCCTTATATGCAAAAACATCCTGAATCCAGTCCAATTTTTAATATCATAACTGACATAATAAACATACATGAATTGTCACAATATTTCAGAGTTTTGTTTCTTCTGTTGCAATTAAGAGTTGTTACATCTGCTACATGATCTGCATAGTTATGAAGTGTCATGTGATTTATCTGCCTCTATCATGTGGATTCTTTAAAAATCTTATTTAAAATGCCTTTCTTTATATGAGAATGCATATTCCTTGAAGGAATCTATACTTCATTTATGTATCCCCAAACAGCATATGGTGTATGATCAACTAAAAAAAAAACCCTGTATATCAAGTTCTGGGGCAAACTTTGGGAACCCAGTACAATAAAAGAATAAATATAAATAAATATATTGCCACCCAGAGTCGCATTATTCAAGTTGGGTGGCCATAAATTGTTTTTAAGAAATAGTGAGGGGACAAGGATTGATTATGCAGAGAGAGAACATTTTTAAAATAAATTTTGCAAATGTATAATTCCATCCTTATTCACTTTCTATGTCATCTGAAGAAATATTTGTTCATTAAAACCTTTGTTTTGCTGAATTTTGTGCTTTACTGTTTGATCCTATTTGACAGGGTTTTAAACTACTTAAATTATGAATAGAATAGGATAGGATAGAATAATTAGACCAAGTGTGATTAGACACACAAGGAATTTGTCTCTGGGTACATGCAAACAACAGAGTAATAATAATCATAGTATTACCAATAAGAGTGGGTAGTAAAGAAGGTAAGAAGGATAATAGTAATATTACATCCATACAAAATGGGTAAATATATATAGGCATTAGACCCCATGATGGCAAAACTATGGCATGCGTGCCCGAGGTGGCACACAAAGACATGGTGCCTGGCATGCACAGCATCACCCATTCCTCTTCCAAGTTTCTGACCTTTGTGCATGCAGCAGTGCAAGAAACTGGAAGAGCTGGCCTTCCATTTTCCGGCATGAGCATGTGCACCGGCCAGCTGATCGGCACGCCAGTAACCGAAAGACTAGCTTGCCAGCGCACACATGCCCCTGGGCAGCTCCTCTTCCGGGTTGCGGCCCTGATGAGTGTGCACACACATACTCCCTTTTTAGCACTCAGTGCCAAAAAGGCTCGCCATCACTGCATTAGACAGTACAGATAGTCCTCGACTTACAACAGTTCATTTAGTGACTGTTCAGTTACAACACTTTTGAAAAAAGTGCCTGATGACCATTTTTCACACTTATGACGACTGTACCATCACTATGGTCACATAATCAAAATTGAGATGCTTCCAGTTTCTTGCACTGTTGCATGCACAAAGGTCAGAAACTTGGAAGAGGAATGGGTGATGCTGTGCGTGCCAGGCAACATGTCTTGGCAATTGGTCATAAATTCATGTTTATGACAGTTGCACTGTCCTGAGGTCAAGTGATCATCTTTCCAATCTTCGGACAGTCAATGGGAAAGCCAACTTCACTTAGCAACTTATTTAATAACTGCCTTGCTTAGCAACGTGATTTTTGGGCTTAGCAACATGATTTTGAGGCTCAATAAGATATATAATAAATATCTAAAATTATTTTAATACACTATTGGAAATGGTAAATTGAATCTGGGCCAGGCGAGTCAAGGTTTTGTTTTAGAAGCTGCTATTTTTGCTATGTGACACAAAAAGACACCATGTACAGACATGATCTTTAGATATGTATAAATTAGACCTCTACTATTAATACCTGCCTAATATGTAGAAGGAAGGTGATTTAGAAAAGAAGGGGACTACTAAGTACTGTACTTATAGCTTTTGCTTTAGGGCCTTAAGTTTAGCTTCACAATAAGTTGTTTATAAAAATTGAGAAAAGTAAAAAAATGAAGACTATAGAACAGCAATGGCAAATCTTTTTTGGCTCGCGTGCCATAAGTGGGGGGAGCGCAGGGGGGGTGTCGTGTGCGGGCGTGCCGCATCCATAATGCAATGTGCGACCCCCCCAGTGCGCATGTGCGCACTACAGGCACGACCCCCATTTTTTGCATGCTTTTTTCGCCCTCTCCAGGCTCCAGAGGCTTTATAGGAGCCTGGGGAGGGTGAAAACAGCCCCCCCCCGCTCCCCCAGGAAGCCCTCCGAAGGCTTCAGGGACCTTCAGGAGGCTTCCCTGAAGCCTCCGGAGCAGTCAAAATGACTCTCCAAGCAAACCGGAAGTCACTTCCAGTTTGCTCAGAGGGCCGTTTTAAGCGCTCCAAAGGCTTCAGGGACCTTCAAGAGGCTTTCCTGAAGCCTCCGGAGCAGTCAGAATGACCCTACAAGCAAACTGGAAGTCAGTTCCCGAACTTCCGGTTTGCCCGTAGGGTCGGGTTTTTGCGCTCTGGAGGCTTCAGGGAAGCTCATGAAGCCTCTGGAGGGCCTCCCGGGGGAGAAGCTCTTTTCGCCCTCCCCGGGCTCCTATAAAGCCTCTGAAGCCTGGGGAGGGCGAAAA